TCACATAGTGATGTGGTACAATGTGCGACGGCATGACGAGACGTGCATTTACGCAGCATGCTCCCCACTACCCCGGACCACCACACTACCCCATGCACCACCCGACTACCCCATGCACCACCCCACTACCCCACACCCCACTACCCCGCACCACCCCACTACTCCGCACCACCCCACTACCCCGCTCCACCCCACTACCCCACACCACCCCACTGCCCCGCATCCCATACCCCACACCCCATTACCCACAACCCGTACTCCACGTTTTTTTCCATGTTGGACGGATTTGGCCTCTCAAGCAGCCCTTTCTGACCGCGACCGTACGCGCTGGTCAGTCGGATACCACTGGGAGCTTTGGCACCTTTAAATCATCATCGGGATTAAAAATGTGTTTCTTTAAAACTGATTTTGTGTTTTAGTTTGATGTCCTTAACCCCCCACCCCCACACGTTTCCGATTAGCACGGTTGGCTACGTATAGTGCGAAATAAGTTCAACATACATAGAGAGGCTCAGACTCACGTAGACCCACAAACTCACACAGAGACCCATAGACCCATATCGACCCACAGACTCACACAGAGACCCATAGACTCACATAAACCCACAGACTCACACAGAGCCCCACAGACTCACACAGAGACCTATAGACTCACACAGAGGCCCATAGACTCACATAAACCCACAGACCCACGCACACACCCACAGACTCATAGAAGACCTGACTCCCACAGAGACCCACAGACTCACACAGAGACCCATAGGCTCAGACAGACACACCAAGACCCACAGACTCACATTGAGACTCATAGACTCACACACCCACAGACTCATAGAAGCCCTGACTCACACAGAAGCCGACAGACTCACAAATAGACCCACAGACACTCACAGACTCACATATACCTACTGACTAACACATAGAGACGCACAGACTCACACAGAGATCCAGACTCACAAGGGCCGTGCCTTTACATGTTTTTGTCGTTAACTGTGACGGAAAGAGCGATGGAAGCGGCTGGGGGGGGGGGGGAAGTCGGGGACTGGGTTAGGGAGTGAATGGGCGTCTGGGTCCCGCGTCGTCTTAACTCACCGCACCATCTGCGCCCAACTTTGTCCCCGGCGCAAGGTTCTAGATGAAGGATTAGACCGAAGGTCACGGAGATATGAAACACCTGGTGAGTTTCGTTTCGTTTCTCGAATGGCCCAAACGACATTTTAGTTCGAGATGCATGAATTGTATCGTGCCCGTAATGTCCTCGTGCCTTCGTATGGCGATTGAAAGAAATGCAGTGGGACGTAATTTGACGTGTAATTGTTGTGCAGAGACTCCTCTACTTACGCACATTCGACTTACGAACTTTTAGAGATACGAACAAACCCGTCCGTGAGTCCAGTTGCCCGTTCGGACCGATAGAAGTTCAACCGCCGCGCAATAGATTGCGGTGGTGGCATCTGCATCTACAGGAGATTAAACAGCTTTTGAAGCCATTCCCTGTGTTTAGTGTACATGCAGTACAAGGTGTTTGGAATCGACAGTACAGTTGGACTTACGAACAAATCGATTTACGAACAGACCTCTGGAATCTAACTCGTAAAGGAATCCCTGTAAAAGCCATTCCACAGCATTCACATTAGTAGCTGAAACGACCCCCATCTCTTCTCCCCATCCCATTATCCTGCTGCTGTTGGTACTCCCTGCCCCCACCTCCCAGCTACGACCAGGCCTAGTCCAACTCCTATCATTACCCTGATCACTACCCCAACTCTTATCACTACACCTATAAATAATGTAATAATATCACAATAAACTTGGTTTTATACAGCACTATAACTTAAGCTTCACACCGAAGCTAACGTTATAGCGAAAGCTTTTTGTAAATACAGGTTGAGATTTAATACGTGATTAAAAAAAAGTGTAACAAACTCAATATTCCATCATGGACCGAGGAGGAAGGGAATTCCAAAATCGCGGAGCCTGGCTGGAAACAAGTAAACCCGTAAAAACAAAGTTTTTCACTCTAAATCCTTTATATGCGTGGCGGCTAGAGTTCTCTCGTCCTCTGGCTTGAGATGGCTGCAATCTATGGGTCAGATGCCAGTATTAAGCAATTGGTAATTAAATATTTAATTTGTTTTCCCTAAACAGTGTAAAATTTTGGAAAAAATAATTTCACGAAAATAATTGTCACACACAACGAGTCTGTGTGGAAAATGTCAGCTCGATTGGATCACGGGAAGTGGGTTAAAAAACGAGCGAAAGATTTGCACGGTCCTTAGCAAGCAAGCGAACTTAATATAAAGGATTTAAAAATATATTCGCCTGTGGAGGACGCGGGGATCGATCCCGCGACCTTTGGCATGGGATGCAAGGGCGCTACCAACTGCGCTACTCCACCACGGCCTGTGGAGGGGTTACGCTCTGGGCTCTTACACTCTGACGTTCAGCCAAAGCCATGAATGCGTTCTATTTGAATATATGTAAAATATTTTTTTTTGCTTAAAAAGTGTAAAATTTTGGGATTTTTTGGGAGAAAGTGAGCCACTCCATTCAATTCCTGAGCAAGCTCCCACGGACGTGGGAGTGAAACATCGGACATCGTTCCAAAGCAACATGCGGTACAACTCAACCACATGTGAGAGTTAATGTTTAAACAACACAAAAAAACACTTGATACATAAGACGCATACAAAAATACGTTTAAAAATATTTTATTTGTAGTTTCTCCATCAATACAATTGTTCTGCGGCGTAAAATTATTATTAATAATAATATAAAACAGAAATGAAATTCCATTTTCAGTAACTTGTCAAACTCATAAAAAACAAAATGGCGGCCCTTGGTTGGGATCAAACAAAAATGGTGGCTATTTCAGAGGTGAGCGAATGAAGAAAATGGCGGCTGACCAATTTAAAATACAAATTATTGAGGAGTTTGGTTTCATGGGAGGCAAAAATAGTACAAAAAAATCAAGGCAAGAATTTTTTTAAAAGGCCACTTTTTCTTTTAAACAACTTGTTAATAGTACTGGGCAGTATGTTTTGTTACAAACGATACCCAAGTTAAATTCTCGGCCGCGGCTAACATCATGCAAATACGTGGCGGTTTGTTCAGGATGCCTATCCTACTGGACTGACCAACAACTGAGCAGCGCAGTGAAGTATGGCAAAGCAAACACCGCACGACTGACGTGGCAAAGGGGGAGGAATCCTCATCCAGCAGTGGAGTGACACAACGGGTGTCAAATAATCGATGTAACGGGTTGACTGTATAGAAACACCATCGTTGGAATGTTCCCACACCCCAAAGACGTGTAGTTTGTTAATTTCTGTTGTGAGTCGTGTGCCATTGGTGAAAGTGGGGGTTACCCACACTTTACACCTCCGCACATGGTGGAGATATGTTAACTACCTCGCCTGGTATGCAGGAGGATGTGGGTTCGATCCTCAACCCTAACTTCTGTATATTTGAAGTTTGCATATTCTCCCTATGGTCGTGTTCATTTTTCTCCAGGTTTTCCCTCCACATTTTGAATCGACATGTGTATTTTGCTGAAATACATTTCCACGTGAGTTGAGGTATCATATGTGATAGCCAGGTCGCTTCTGAAAAAGAGCTGTATAGGAGCTCAATGGGTCTTACCTGGTTAAAGTAAAGTAATTGTTTATAGTTTAACTGCTGTGCCGGGGGGAAGATGGAATCGAACCCGAGGTGGTTACTCATTTGACCAACACCAGAAGGATATGGTGGTGTATGTTTGGATTTCAGCTCACCACTTATGCGATCCACACAGGTGTACTCCCAATTAAAAAAAAAAACCTCGTCAAATGATTTTCCCACTTCAAAAGGCAGTGCAGCAAATAGGTTGACCTATGTATATGATTAGTGTTATCCCTTCCGCGTGCACGATTCTCCGCAGGTAAAGCCTACTGTAAAAAAAAACCGCTCATCACAAAAGGAATTGTGCCAAACGTCACAATTGACCAGGGCCTATCCCTATCGAGACTCAGAAAGTCCCAGGACACAAGGAATCGGTGGGGCCAACGGTACTAACCACATGCCAACGTTGGTCCAACGTTGCCGTTGACGGTGCAACTGGTAAACGTTGCCGACGTGGGTTGCGGCTTTCCCGACTTTCGGGACATTATTCTAAACGTTGGTAATTGTTGCAAAGCACTGCTTAATACTGTAACGTGGGCGTTTTTGTCGATACCAGCTACAAATCAACTCTCCATTATCTCGGGGTGGGGAGGGTAATGCGGAAGCGATGACCCAGATAAAAATAAAACAGAGAAGATGAACAAAAATCTTAGGCTATAAGAACGCAATTAACCTGCGTTGGAACGGGATTAACGTGCATTAGAACATTATTAACCTGCGTTTGAACCTGATTGACCTGTGTTTAAACATCATTAACCCGAGTCGGAACGGGACGTGGAGCCTGTGTCTTTTTGCTCCGGGGTCACCGGCAGTGTCCCGCCGGGATCAGCGATCGATGCACGATGGCCGAGGATGGAGGAGCAGCGACTGCTCGAAGCAAAGCGGTGGATGACTCCGTGCGACTCACACACGCGCTTTGATGTCGATAAATAACAGCGCACAGGTGAAACGGGCACGATGAATCGGGTGGTGGTGGTGGTGGGGGGTGTACGATTGGAAAGGGGCGCTCACTCTCAGGGCGAGCTTCCAGTCGGACACCGAAAGCTACCGCGGGGTGTTGGATGGCAACGCGACAGAAGACTACTCTTTAGTTCTTTCGGTAAAGTCATGTCGAAAAAAAATAAATAATAAATATAATGCAATACAACACAGAGAGTCGGCCAACATAACAGTTGATTACGTTCTTCCAAAGATGTCTAAATTTGAGTGACAAAACACAGACACGGAGACACAGACAGACACACAAACAGAGAGACAACACAGAGACAAACAGAGAGACACACACATAGGCACACATAAACTTCTGTGTGCCTATGTGTGTGTCTCTGTGTGAGCCTCTCTCTGCTTATGTGTCTGTGTGTCTCCGTGTCTGTGTTTTGTCACGTTCTCAAATTTAGCAATCTTTGGAAGAACGTGATTAACCAGGTGGGGTGTTGACTGTTGTGTTGGCCGACTCTCTGTGTTGTATTGCATTATATTTATTATTTAATTTCTGTCGCGTACCGAAAGAACCAAAGAGTAATTCCTGCAGTCACGAAAGCTTCGAATCTAAAAGACGCGTAGCCTGTTACGCCAGGATAGTCACCAGCCCTATTGCTCTCTTTTAGTGTTCCAGATAATCTGCGCGCAAACACAAGAATAAAACTTGTTCCGGTAAAAAAACATATCGAGAAAATATGTAACGGAGGCATGTCTACATATAATTCTACGTGTGTGCGTGCTTCCAACAGTAATAAAGTTTTTACATACCTCAAGCGCTAAAGTTTACCGCTAGCACGCGTGTGTTCTTTGTTGGGTCGTGTGTTCCGATTGTGAGGTAAAGTTAAAGTTGCAGTCATTGCAATATTGACCACGGCTTTATGCCGCACCGGCTCTTTAAAACAACCACACCATCACCCACATTTCCCCCCCAGAGTTGCAGTGGTGGGTGCCAGGAACTGCTGTTGGGCCAAAACGAGAACGAGGTCACGTCGTAGAGACAGAAGGGCCCCACGACTTAATTCCTTCGAATGAGGTGGGAGCGCCGCACACTTTAGCCCGCACCCATGCGACCCTTGCAATCGACGTAACTGTGCTCGATGGTGGACAGAGGGAGTAAGGGAGGGGGGGGGATTTAAACAAAATTCACCATTGTTTTTCAGCTGTTGTGGCGGGAGGAATCGAACTGGCAGGTCCAGCGGTACTGCTGACCGTTACACCACCACCACCACCAAGCGATGGCATCGCAAGAAAAAAACTAAAAATTAAGTTGGATTGCTTTAACTTTGTGGAAAAAACCCCAACACCCATCATGTATTTTAGACGGTCTTTCCATGCATTTAAACTGACTGGTTTGTCAAACTTTAGTTCTACCTAACACTGTGTCCGATTTTCGGGTGCATTGGTGGCGCAGAATTTTAGCGCTCCGCGCTACAAACCCGCTTCCCGGGTTCAATTTGCGACAACGGCGAACAAAAGTGGCGGGCGATATGTGAATCTGCGTCTCAGACTCACACCCCGTTGGCCAACCTGCGCGGTGAAGTATGGTCAAACCCCCCCCCTCCCCATAACCAAAAGGGCATGGGGTGGACTTCATCCAACAGTGGATTGAGAGGTCTGTGAATGTATAATTGTTTTGTCACCGATTTTGGTATGTTCACAATTGCTGTGTCCTGCCTATTGTTGATCGCGGGTGAATGCCCAATATGGACGCACAATAAAATTCAAGATGGCCGCAGCAAAAATTCATAATTCCTACAAGTTTCTAAAAAGAAAACAAATATATAAACGTATTGTAGTGATATAAAATTCATGAACGTCGAGCTATAATTGTGTATATGATTGATAATATTGGAGCGTACGGGAATATAAAGTTTACGATATGAATTCCAATGTTTTCGTATATCGTGTCAAAGATGGCCGATACAGCAAGAGTTGAACAAATCCTTTGGCGGAGGAAATCCAGAGGTGTTGCTAAAAATATAAAAATGAGTTCAAGGTGGAGAATCAGTGGTTTCCAAGACATCAGGACTTCAAATTGGCAGTAGCGCAACGCAGGACGGTGAAAAAAGCAAACTGGAGCAGAAATGAGATTGTGGAGTTGCAAAATCCATGACGAATCGATCAAGATGGTGGCTGTAGAAAACAAAGATGGTGGAAACGCCAAATTCAAAATTTCCTAGTACGGCGATCCGGTGTCGCGCCGTCGCAGGGCTGAAGATGGTAGCATCCAACAGCTTCCGGTGGCAGCGCTGGCGGGTGCTGAAGAACCCAAAGTAGCGGCGCTGCAAAATCCACGATGGCGGCGTTGAGAGGGGGATGCGCAAATAAGATGGCGGAGAGGCGGGATGCGGCTAGTTGAGGAAGAGCGTGTACCCCTCGGCTCCCGTGATGATGACGTCCATCCAGATCCTCATGGCCTCCGGCGACTGGGCCACCATGTAGTAGACACGGTCATGGGTCTTCACGCAGAACGTCAGTGCCGGGTTGGGGCTCTGTTGGAGAAAGGGCAAGGGGAGAAAGAAGGAGCGCCGCGTGGTGGGGAGATGTTAACTTCTTCGCCTGGTAGGCAGGAGGTCGTGGATTCGATCCCGACCCTGACGCCTGCTGCTGTATATTTGTAGTTTGCGTCTCTCTCCCAGTGGTCACGAGCATTTTTCTCCGGGGTCCTGCAGTTTTACCTTCCACATTTAGAATCAACGTGAATTTAAAGTATTTCGCTGCTGCTATAAATTTCCACTTGGTAAGCCACTTTCGTTGAGCTATCATTTTTGATAGCCAGGTCGCCTCTGAAAAAGAGCCGTATAAGCACAGTGGGCCTTACCTGGTAAAATACAAAAGAGTTTAGAAAGAGGGCAAGAGCGAGACATGGGCAAGATAAGACGGGATGTATTACAAAAATGCTCCTAGGCAGCGCTAATTTTAGCCCGTATTTGTTTCATTTATTTAGTCTCAGCCGAGGACAACCCGAAGGTGAATTTAGTCCAGCCGCAAGTCGGTGGTATTTCATTTCAAGTACGCTTCTTGGTCTGGCTAAAATCAGGTCGGCCAATCGGTGAGCTTGGTGACTCGTCAGCGATACGACGGCCATGTTGGCCTCCGGCGGGCGCCGCTACGTTCTCCGACGGCGTGACTCAACGACCGCGAGGTGAACTCCGTGTCGTCACAGTCGTCGTCACGCCCGACAAATGTAATAGTCGATAAAAATTGAATTAAAAAAACATTTAATGGACGAACATTTATTACTTCCCTTCTACGTGACTTTACCGAAAGAACCAAGAAGATGAACATTTCCCTCTCTAATTTCCTCGAGCGGATTAAGGATAACGTTGATCGATATCTCGCTTTTATTTATTGGTTGTCGCACGCAACCCCTCGCTATATCTTGCCGCTCTCTCCTCGCAAAAGATGAACTCCACCTAACATCTCAATGGTATTGGGTTGTATGTATGGTGAACTTCTTTCGTATCGCGCATAGCCAACCATGCTCACTGTTATTGTTACCATGAGTCCACCGATTTGACTTCATTGGCCTCCTCAATACTGAGAAATGCTGGCGAAGATGTTAAATAATTTTTAATCCGTACTTATTTCCACCAGTTTATTTCCACAAGTTTATAAGCTAAACTATTTTTATTTATTTAATTGGTAACACAGGTCATTTTCAAAAGCAATAAAGCCAAACGATAGCTCAACGAAGTGGCTCATCACGTGGAAATTTAAATCAGCCAAATACTCTAGACGCATGTTTATAAATGTGGGGGGAAAACTGAAAAATCCACGCGACCACAGGGAGAGAGACATGCAAACTCTAAATATACAGCAGGCGTCAGGGTCGAGATTGAACCCACGACCTCCTGTATATCAGGCGAGGTAGTTAACATCTCCTAGCCACCGTGATGATGATGAGAGAGAGACACCGCAAACTCCAAATATACAGCAGGCGTCAGGGTTGGGATCGAACCCACGACCTCCTGTATACCAGGTGAGGTAGTTAACATCTCCTAGCCACCGTGATGATGAGAGAGAAACACCGCAAACCCCAAATATACAGCAGGCGTCAGGGTTGGGATCGAACCCACGACCTCCTGTATACCAGGCGAGGTAGTTAACATCTCATAGCCACCGTGATGATGATGAGAGAGAGACACACCGCAAACTCCAAATATACAGCAGCAGGCGTCAAGGTTGGGATCGAACCCACGACCTCCTGTATACCAGGCGAGGTAGTTAACATCTCATAGCCACCGTGATGATGATGAGAGAGAGACACACCGCAAACTCCAAATATACAGCAGCAGGCGTCAGGGTTGGGATCGAACCCACGACCTCCTGTATACCAGGCGAGGTAGTTAACATCTCCTAGCCACTGTGCGCCATCGTCCGCGTCACGGCGGGCGTGAGTCGCAGAATTGCCGCCACGCCGGATGAATGCCGCCCGCTCGTTAAAAAACAAATAAACACGACAACAAACGTGCCTCTGACGAACACTCTCGTCGCTAATTTTCGCAAATCAACACGCACCAACTGCTGCAGGCATGCACACACGATGCAAACAACACAAAGGGGGGGGGGGGGGGTGCGAAACACAGGCGTTGATGAAACACGGAGAGGACGCTGCCAAAAAAAATCTAAATATAAGCGCCACGTGATCGGTAGCGTGCCGAACCATCTTGCGGAAGACTGTTGAAAGCGATTATTTAAAGCGATTATCATTCTTTGTTTTATTTCTACGCTCGATTTGGCCAGGAAAGCCTCACTCGAGTCTGCTGCTGCTGCGTCTGATACAAATTGAGTGATTTGCATCAACACCGGTTTTGGCATGTGTGATTGTGTTTTTGAGCCCTGGGATTTGACCAGTGAACCCACGGGAAATCCCCGAGTCAAGAAGCGAACCCAGGTCCTTCTAAGTGCAGTGAGGCCACAAGCGTACACCACTGCACCACCGCTCCTGTCGCCAAATTGACAGCGTCTTACGGAAGACAACATTCTCCGGATTTATAGGACGCAACGCAAACAAAACACTTTATATTTACAATGTATGTACTGTGTGTTGAACTTTCTCTCGCACCGTACGTAGCCAACAGCGCTAATCGTAGGTGCGTGGGAAGGACAACAGACGTGAACACTAACAGCACATCTCTAAAGAAATTAGTTTGTCAATCTATGTGATGATTTAAAGGTGCAGCAGCGCTCCAATGGCTTCCTAATATCGGAATAAAGAGCGGTTCCAGACGGCCGCAAGAAGCACGTCTGGTGCGGTGACCGCCGCCTTTGTTCGATGGTTAGCCAGGAGGTTGGTGTATAATAGTGTAGTGTATAGTAGTGTATAGTGTAGTGGATAGTGTAGTGTATAGTTGTGTAGTGAATAGTAGTGTATAGTGTAGTATAGAGTTGTGTAGTGTATAGTGTAGTGTATAGTGTAGTGTATATCGCATCTGAAAGTGCCGCCACTGCCGCTGCTGCTGCCGCCCGGAGTAAATAGGGCACAGTGTGTGTGGCTGTGTGTGTGTGGCTGTGTGTGAGTGTGGCTGTATGTGTGTGGCTGTGTGTGTGTGGCTGTGTGTGTGTAGCTGTGTAGCTGTGTGGGGGAGGGAAATTCTCTCAGCCAGGAAAACATCATGGCACAAAGTGGGGATAACCCTGCTGAGGCTGCGGTGCCTCAAATATTGGAAGAGGTCACCCCCTGTGAGTGGCTGGCTGAGGTTCCAGCTGTTGAGGAAGTACTGAGGGCGATCCGGAGTCTGAGACCAGGGAAGGCACCGGGCAGAGATGATCTCCCAAGCGAAATGCTGAGGGAGGGTGGCGTTTGTGCACAGACTGCCCTATATGACATCATAACAACAGTCTGGACCACTGGACGGGTTCCGCAGGACTGGAAGGATGCCCTGGTGGTCCCCCTCTTTAAGAAGGGGGACCGCACAGACTGTAACAACTACAGGGGCATCTCACTCCTCAGTGTGCCGGGTAAGGTCCTGGCAAGGATTATTCAACATCGCCTTGCTAGGCACGCTGAGGAGGGGCTTGCGGAGCCCCAATGCGGTTTCAGGAAAGGGCGGTCCTGCACAGATGCCATATTTTCTGTCCGTCTGCTACAGCAGAGGTGTAGGGAATTCCAAAAAGACCTACATCTCTGCTTTATTGACCTGGTCAAGGCCTATGATACCATCAGTAGGACTGGACTCTGGGTTGTTCTTCGTGCTTTCGGAGTCCCTGACCCTCTGCTCACGATCATTAAGGACCTTCATGATGGTGAGCGGGCCCGGGTAAAACTACGTGGCCGGGAGTCGGAGCCTTTCCCTGTACACCTTGGGGTGCGACAGGGATGTCCTCTGGCTCCCACATTATTTAACATCTATTTTGACCGCGTAGTTCGTGAAGCCTTCAATAGCTGTACCGGGGGAATTTCCGTTTGGTACAGATATAATGGGAGGCTGATCGACGCCCGGGTGCGATCAAGGGATGGCTCCCTATTGGTCAACCACGTTATGTATGCCGATGATTTGGTAATAGCTGCTCATTCAGAAGAGGAGTTGGAGGCGCTGTTGCTGAGACTGGAGCGTGCCACTAAGAGGTGGGGCCTTACCATCAGCCCCACCAAAACCAAGCACCTGCCTGGGTATTTTGTACCATCGGACACTCCACCCCCACAACTCCCAATTGGTGATGGGGCAGTTGTGGAGAGAGTGGAGAGTTTCCCATACCTGGGCAGTATGCTTATGACCGGCTCCAGTCTATCAGCAGAGGTCTCACTCCGAATCAGTCGAGCGGCAATATCTTTTCATCGGTTGCGTAACGCTGTGTGGAAGCTACCTGGTCTGTCGCTCCGCACGAAGCTTCAGGTCTTCTCGGCCACGGTCATTCCCTCCCTTCTCTACGCTTGCGAGACGTGGACCCCCCTGGTGGAGCATCTTCGCCGGTTGGAAACATTTAGGCTGGCCTGCCTACGATCCATCCTGGGTTTAACCAGGCTGGATTGTGTGAGGAGCTCACAAATCCTTGAAAGATCTGGGCAAAGTCCCATCAGTGAGCTCCTCCGGCAGGCAAGGCTGCGTTGGCTGGGTCATGTAGCCCGCATGCCCAGCCACCGCATGCCTAAACAGCTTTTGTTCGGCCGGATCGAGGGGGCTAGACGGGCGCGGCACGGGCTGGAGAAGAGATGGAGTGATGTGGTACAGGAGGACGTGGAGCTGAGTGGACTTGCCGATGACTGGTACCAGCGGTGTCAAGATCGGCCTCAGTGGAGGAGGCTCGTGAAGGACGCTACTGGGCAGTTGGAGGCAGTCGCCCTCCAACAACAACGGAGGGCGGAGGAGCGACGCTCACAACAACGAGCGGAGCGCCGGGTGGCTAAAGCACAGCAAGTTGGCACAGTAGGGGGCACAGGTGGTGCATCAGCCAGTCATCTCGGTCATCTCGGTCAGTCGACCAGTGGCACCTGGGTCTGCCCCGTGACCTCCTGCCAGCGGGCTTTCGACACTTCACGTGGCCTCAAGGTGCACTTGGCCTGGCACAAGCATCGTGGTGACGTCACCGCCACTTAGTGGCGAATGGCGGTTGTTGTTGTTGTTGTTGTAGCTGTGTGTGTGTGGCTGTGTGTGTGGCTGTGGGTGTGGCTGTGTGTGTGTATGTAGCGGTAGTGCAGCGGTGATCGCGCTGCGCTATGAACCTGGCAGAGAACCGGGTTCGATTCCCGCTCACGGCCAACGCCAGTGACGATCATCTGAACCGGTCCTGGGCCTCCCCTACGTCTCAAATGAGCGCCTGGTGCGGTGTGTGAACATCGCCACTGGGGAGACAAAGGCGGCCAGCCGGGCGCGGTGTTGACCACCCACCCCCTCGTGTGCCGCGCCGGCCTTCGTAGGCGCCGCTACTCGCTTAAGGCACTTGCCCCCAAACGGTTTGTTCGAGCTGTATGGGGAATATTTGTGTCTGTGGGGGGAGCGACCAGGTGCGAGGACGTTCCACAGCGAAGCAAAGTCGGCAGCCGCCCGCAAAGCTTCGGGGTCGGGTTAGTAGGAGTGCATTCCCGGGGGGAGAAAAAAAACCACAAACACGGGCGTTGCCACTCGGGGAACACGAAGAAGCCAACGTCCAAGCGTTTACATACTGTGATTTTGGCAAATCTCAATATCCCCCACGGCTGAAAGGAAAGACAACAACAATGGTGATCAGTTTAAACACGTAGCAGCGCTTTTGCAACGAATATGATTAATAATAAAGGTGTTTTTGGGTTAGGTCGCGCTTGAGCCCCCCGAAACTCTGTACTTGACGTGACGATGTTCGAGCTGTGATGAAGACATCATCCTCTTAGGTTTTTTCGGTAAAGTCACGTAGGTAAAAAATAAAATTAATGAAAGTAATAATAGAAATAAGATAAAATAATAAATCACGACGTTTCGGAGGCAACACAAGTCATCATTGATACAGTAAATCGTGCTGTGACGGTCCCACCTGATGACGGAGACTTGTGTTGTCTCCGAAACGTCGTGATTTATTATTTTATTTCTATTATTTTATTAATTTTAATTTTATTTTTTCCCTACGTGACTTTACCGAAAAAACCTAAGAGTATGAATCCTTGCAGTCACGAAAGCTTCAAATCTAGAACGAAGACATCAGTTCGACTCGAGAGCGAAGAATCTCGCTCGTGCGGCAGAGCGAGGCGGGAGGGTGCTGCCCTCTACTGGGTCGCTTGAAGAAGGGGAAGGGATCTCAGCGGTAGCTCTGTGACAGCCACTTCCGCGGGTTCTGTTCTGAGTGGACCGGAGCATCACTTGAGTGGATCTCAGAGGTAGCAGTAGGAGCAGATCGTTTAATTCTGCAGTGCAGGTTTAAATGCTGCTGCTGCTGCAAATGTGTAGTGGGGACGATGATGATGGCGATGACGAGAATGATGATGATGACAATGATGATGATGATGACGATGATGACGATGCTGACGACGATGACGACGACGATGCTGACGACGACGACGACGATGACGACGATGACGAAGATGACGATGATGACGAGTGATGGTGATGTTGTTGACGACGATGATGTCGATGATGATGATGATGTTGATGACGACGGCGAAGGCTACCACAGAGACACAACGCCCGGCAGTGAGCACCGTCCTCGGAGGAGGGAGTCGGGCGAGGGTGAGGAGGTGGTGAGTGGCGCTGTGTTCCAGGTGAGTGGGTGAGCCGAGTGGCTCTGCGTCACCTTGTTGGCGTTTTTCAGGTGATCGTAGTAAACCTCCTGGATGGCCTGGAAGTAAATGACTCCCTTCAGCTTGGCTTCGTGTTTGTCTGCGTGGACACGGGCGCACAGAGGGGACAGAGACGGCACAATGAGAGAGATAAAGATTCCCCGTGTAGCCCGTAGCCGACTGTTGGGGCAAGTGCTGTTAGCGAGCTGCATCACCGATGGAGGGCGGCACGGCGCACGAGGAGGTGGTGTGGGAGGAGCCACCGCCTTTGTCAATGGCGACGATAACGACGACAATTTTTGTGACGACGACGATAACAACAACAACGGTGATGACAATGACAACGATAACAACGATAACGACGACAATAACAAAAACAATGACAACAACGACAACAACAACCATAACGACAACGGTGATCACGATGATGACAACAACGATGACAACAACCACAACGACAACGGTGATCACGACGATAACAACGACAACAACAACAACCATAACGACCACGGTGATCACGATGATGACAACAACGATGACAACAACGATGACAACAACCACAACGACAACAGTGATCACGACGATGACAACAACGATGACAACAACCACAACGACAACGGTGATCACGACGATGACAACAACGACGATGACGACGACAACCATAACGACGACGGTGATAACGACGACGACGACAACGTTTTCCGGCGGCGTCGCTGGCGTGCGCGCCGACCCACCGGCGTAGTAGGCCAGCGTGCGCTTGTTGCGGTCGAAGACGAACCAGCGCTTGCGCCACGTCTTGATCTTGCCGCCCATCTTGGTGAGGAGGCCGCGGCAGGTCTTGGCGGTGAGCGCCACGTGGCGGCACGTCTCCACGCCGTGGCCCGCCGCCTCCACGTGGCCACGCAGGTCAAAGTCCTCCTTGCGCACCGGCAGGTAGCGAGTCAGCGGGCGGGACTGCTCACGGAGAGACGGGGGGGAGGGGTGGGGGTGGGTAGGGGTGGGGGGAGTGGGGTGGTAGGCGAGGAGGAGGTGCAGGGAGGGAGGGGGGGTGGGGGAGGGAGGGGGGTGGGCGGAGTGGGTGGGAGTGTGGTAGGGGGTACGGAGGGTGGGAGGAGGGTGGGGGAGGTGGGGATGAGGGGGTGGGGGAGGAAGGTGGAGGGAGGTGGTGGGGAGGGAGTGGGGGGGTAGGGGAGGAGGGGGTGCAGGGAGGGGGTGGGGGGAAGTAAGAGCGTGATAGGGGGGATGGTGGGGGGAGGGATGGGGATGGTAGGGGGAGGGAAGGAGGTGGGGGGAGGGAGGGAGGTGGATGATGGGGGGGAGAGAGGAAGGGGTTGGGGGGAATGGAGGGGAGGAGAGGGGTTGGGGAGGAAGGTGGGGGGGAGGGAGGAGGGGGTGGGGGAGTGAGGGGTGGGGGGAGGGAGAGAGGAAAGAGTTGGGGGGAGCACGATGGGGGGGGGGGGGGGGTCACAATGGTTATTTAGACTACAGCAGCAGCAGCAGGAGAAACCCGATGACCTGTGAAGCTCTTTTGTCACCGGTGTCCAGTCGGGGCACGGGCTGAGTGTGCTGGAGGGACTCGTTGTTGTCGGGCAAACTCTTACAGCCGCATTGCTCCTGCAGCATCAGCAACAGCAGCAGCAGCATCAGCAGCATCAGCAGCAGCATCAGCAGCAGCATCAGCAGCAGCATCAGCAGCAGCAACTTGTTGCGATTATCGCCGAAGGAGGTACGGTAGCTTAGTAGCACAGTTTGGTACTGACACCCCATTCTTGTAGCACAGAGGCCACGTGTGTATGTTGATTGTTTACGTATGTGTGTGTATGTGTGTGTGTATGTATGTGTGTATGTGTGTGTGTGTATGTGTGTATGTATGTGTGTATTTATGTGTGTATTTATTTGTGTATGTATGTGTGTGTGTATGTGTGTGTGTATGTCTGTAGTGCATGATTAACTTCTTTCGCACCGTACGTTTACAACCGCGATAATCGGAGGTGCGGGCGGAAGGACAACAAACTAAAAACAACAACAACAACAAGCAGTTGTAAAGAATGTAGTTTGTCTATCCATGCAAGTCTATGGGTCTATGAAAGTCTATGGGTCTCTGTGCGAGTCTGTGGGTCTCTATGCGAGTCTGTGGATCTCTGTGCGAGTCTGTGGGTCTCTGTGCGAGTCTGTGGGTTTCTGTGCAAATCTGTGGGTCTCTGTGCGAGTCTGTGGGTCTCTGTGTGAGTCTGTGGGTCTCTATGAGAGTCTGTGGGTCTCTGTGCGAGTCTGTGGCTCTCTGTGTGAGTCTGTGGCTCTCTGTGCGAGTCTGTGGATCTCTGTGCGAGTCTGTTCAGGATCCACGCGGGGATCCCCACACATCTCTCAGTCTCTCCTCCCGCGCGTCGCCGCGTCTCCCTGCATCTCCCCCCCGCATCTCCTCTTGTGTGTCTGCCTGTCTCCCTGCATCTCCTCTTGTGCGTGCCTCCTGTTACACCCCCCGCACCCCCCCCCCCCCCCACAGCTCCACTCACTCACCTGCTGCACGGCGTGCGCGTCCCTGAGCCTCACGTCAGCCCCCCGCGACGACCCCCCGCCCGGGCCCCCCCCTCCCCCCCACGACGGAGCCCCCCCCGCGTCCCCCCCACCCCGGGGGGGCGGCCCCCCCCCGCCCCCCGCGCCAGCGAGGAGGCGCCGCTGCCGCTCCGTCTCGTCCCGGAGCTGCGCCTCCACTCGCTCGCGGCGCCGTCGCTCGAGATCCAGCGCACGCCGGCGCTCCTCCGCCTCGCGCTCCTGCTCGGGGCGGGGGGGGGGCAGCAGCGGCGGCATCAGCGTCGGCGGTGGGTGGTGGGTGGGTGGGTGGGTGAGTGGGTGGGTGGGTGGGTGAGTGGGTGGGTGGGTGGGTGGGTGGGTGAGTGGGTGGGTGGGTGGGTGAGTGGGTGGGTGGGTGGGTGAGTGGGTGGGTGGGTGGGTGAGTGAGTGGGTGAGTGGGTGGGTGAGTGGATGGGTGGGTGGGTGAGTGGGTGGGTGAGTGGTTCAGTGAGTGGGTGAGAGGGTTGGTGGGTGGGTGAGTGAGTGAGTGGGTGGGTGAGTGAGTGAATGGGTGAGTGAATGGGTGAGTGGGTGAGTGAATGGGTGAGTGAGTGGATGAGTGAGTGGATAGCTGAGTGGATAGCTGAGTGGATGGGTGAGTGGGTGAGTGAATGGGTGAGTAGGTGAGTGAGTGGATGAGTGAGTGGGTGAATGAGTGAGTGAATGAGTGGGTGAGTGACTTTGTAACTTTTGTGGCCAAACCGTATATATGTTTTGGTTCTCATAACACACACACCACACCACACACACCACATACACCACACACACGTACATCACACACACAGACACACGTACACCACAAACACACGTACACCACACGTGCACGCACGCATACATAGCCAACTAATTAGCACGGTTGAGTTCAGCATACATACAAAGACAAAGTCACTCTCCGAGTGACTTTAAATTCACCTTCATCTCCAAGAGCCTCGCCTTCTCCACCTGTGCATCCCTCAACATCCGCTCCATCTCCTCCAGACGCACCGTGTCCATGCCGCTCGCACTGACGCACGCGCACACAGACACAGAACCCCCCCCCCCCCCGGTGCAGCCTCAGTAGACTGTTCGCAAGCATTACTGATGAATGCCGGTACGGTGGCACACGAGGGGGTGGGTGGCCAGCACCACGCCCGGCTGCGTTTGTCTCCTCAGTGGTGATGGTTACACCCCGCAGATACAATGCATCCACCATTGCCACCACCACTCCCACCACCGCCACCAACTCCCACCAGCAGCACCACCACCTCCACCGCTGCCACCACCACCGCCAGCACCACTCTATCATCACCACCACCGCCGCCACTTCCATCATCACCACCACTTCCACCACCACCGCCGGCACCACCTCCATCATCACCACCACTGCCACCACCTCCATCATCACCACCACCTCCACCACCACCACCGCCACCACCGCCACCGCCACCACCACCACCACCGCTACCTCCACCACCGCCAGCTTCAAACGCGAGGAGCGACCGAGCGTCTGTGCGGCGTTCAGAGTCAACGCCGTCGATCGTCTTCGCCAAGCCGCTGGACCGGTCGTGGCACGCGGAGAACCGCCCTGATGTCGATTGTGTCGTCGGATTGCGTCATCGGATTGTGTCGTCGGGTTGCGTTCGGTTGCGGGGTTATTCGATTGTTTAGACAATGACGACGGTTCTCCTGCTGTACGGGGTACAAAGACAAAGATCCCCCATGTAGCCCTCAACAAACTGCTGGGGCAAGTGCTGTCAGAGAGTCGCGAGCAGCAACAACGAAGGCCGGCACTGTCACAGACGAGGGGGGGGGGGTGGGTGGCCGGCACCACGCCCGGCCGCCTTTGTCTCCCCAGGTGGCGACGTTTACTACACACCGCACCGGGTACTCATTTGAGGCCGAGTCGACCTAGGGGAGGCCCAGAACCGGTTCAGACGCTCGTCAGCGGGGTTGGCCGTGAGCGGGAATCGAACTCGGGTCCTCTGGCGGCTTCTGGAACTATCCGCGGCGCCACCGACACACGAGCCAGTGGCCGGCAGTGCCAGGCTAGGTGCACCACACCTGGACATGGCATCGGGTGAGCACTGCGAGTTGGCGTTGGAGACGCTGGTGTCCATGCTGTCGGAGCTCTCCAGGCTCAGCGTGTCGTAGGCCCCTCCACCGCCGCCCACTCTTCCCCCCGCTCCGTCACCACCGTTCCCCAGAAGCTCCTCCACCACCATCGCGGCGGCCGCCGCCGCCTCCTGATCCACCTCCTCCTCCTCCTCGGCGCATCCCCTGGACGACGACGAGGTGGGGGACGAGGGCAGCGCGTGGAGGGCTGCCCACTGCGTCTGGGCCTCGGCCGCGGCCCGTAGCCTCAGGTCGGCCAGGCGACGCCGCTGCTCTTCTATCACCTGGTGCCCTGTGGGGGGTGGTTGGGAGGGGCCCCACGGTGGCGAGGTGTTAACTACCTCGCCTGGTCTACAGGAGGTCGTGGGTTCGATCGCGGAACCTGACGATGCCTGCTGCTGTATATTTGGAGTGCGCGTCTCTCTCTCCCTGTGGTCGCGTGGATTTAATCTCCGGGTCCTCCGGTTTTCTCCCTCCATATTTACAATGATGATGATAAGCCCACTTTGTTGAGCTATAATTTGTGATATCCAGGTCGTATTCTTTGGTTCTTTCGGTAAAGTCACGTAGATAGAACAAAAAGCACTACCTTCTTGGTTCTTTCGGTAAAGTCACGTAGAAGGGAAGTAATAAAATAATAAAAATAAAACATAATAAAACAATTCTCACGACGTTTCGGCTACAACGCAAGCAGCCGTCCTCAGGTGAAAACCAGGTCCGTCGAGGCGACAGAGTCTGAATGAAACAGCACACGAGCTTGGAGCATATATATAAGCTGGGCGCATTGACAAAGGAATTTGCATATCAAAAGGAATTTAGCATATTTATGGGAAATGCAGGAATGTGATTAGTACTGCATATGCATGTGCATTATGCAGGATTAACAGCATCAAAGGGAGCAGCTCCCTGCATTTCCCATAAATATGCTAAATTCCTTTTGATATGCAAATTCCTTTGTCAATGCGCCCAGCTTATATATATGCTCCAAGCTCGTGTGCTGTTTCATTCAGACTCTGTCGCCTCGACGGACCTGGTTTTCACCTGAGGACGGCTGCTTGCGTTGTGGCCGAAACGTCGTGAGAATTGTTTTATTATGTTTTATTTTTATTATTTTATTACTTCCCTTCTACGTGACTTTACCGAAAGAACCAAGAAGATGAATCCTTGCAGTCACGAAAGCTTTAAATCGAAAAAGCACTACGTTTCGATCGCAACACAAGTGGTGTGTTGCGGTCACAACCGCTTGTGTTGCGATCGAAACGTCGTGGTTTTTGTTCTATCTACGTGACTTTACCGAAAGAACCAAAAAAATATGAATTCCTGCAGTCACGAAAGTTTTAAGTTAAAATATAGCCAGGTCGCTTCTGAAAAAGAGCTACATGGCCCAGTGGGGCCTTACCTGGTAAAATAGAAAATAGTTTATAGTTTGTGTTGAAGCAATGTTGTTGTAATTATGCACTCCTAGAAGATAGGCCATGCTGTGGCTGAAGGAATGTGTAAAATACACTCTAATGTTTTTTTTTATGTTCAGGGACAACTGCCACTCGGCCTAGCACCCCAGAAAAGCCTTACCTTTTTCCTGGAAGGTCTGCTGCCGCTTGTTCTCTATCTCCTGCAGGGTGGCCTTCAGGTTACGGGGCAGGCTGTTGGTGCCCAGCTGGGCCAACACAGAGGACTGTTCAACAGAAATGTCCACAAAAAAAACAATTAAGATAATGAGCAGAGTGTTTGGGATTTGCAGATACAACTAAATAGCAAGGTAATAAGTCTGATGTGAAGATTATATATGAAGAATTCTAAAAACATTTCAAGAACCTTGTTGTCAAGTTATGTATGTACACTGATCTTCTTCCGCACAGTATGTAGCCAACCGAGCCAATCTGCTCATATGATTTTTTTTTATTAATGGGGGAGCGTTAGTTGTGTTATGAAGCACAGATTGATTATTGTGAATAACTATTTACTTCATGTTTTACACAGGAAAGCCTTCACTAGTTCTTTAAAAAATACTGTTTCAGCCATCTCAATCCTCTAACCCTGAAAGCAGACACCTCTCGGTTCCAGAGTACAGAAACTTCTTTTAAGATTTATCCCAAGTCCGATTGCAGTAAAATCACAAATGTCGTCGGAGAAAATGGATTGTAAGTCGAAGTACATACGAGAGTCATAGTGAGACCATCATTCTCGCTCTCCGAGCAGTTGTTGCTAGGGATTGCATCATCACTGCCACTGCACCAGCCAATCAGCTGCGCCGGAAAATAACCCCCCAGGCAACATGGCCGACATGGCGTCTCCCAGGCAACATAGCTGGCATTATTTCACGACTCCATGTGCTTTGGCTGAGGTAATATGATACTATTAAAGTTTGTTAACATTGATATCATAATTAATAATATTGCCATTTTATTATTATTAGCGCTTGAAATCCACTTACAATTTTTCCTGCCCAATCGTGAGATTTCTCATAGCTCAACCGTAACTGCCTTATCTTATATAAAACTGATCTTACGACACTGCAACGATGTTGTTACTCATTCTGTACTCTGGCCCCTGGGTTTAAATCCAGGTTTCTCACTGATGCTGGCTAAGTGTCTCTGGCCAGGTCATTAAGATTCCATGGACCAAGAGACGCCCAGAATATCAGCGGTACTGGCCCAGCATGTCCCTGACACAGCCATTATGAACCTCCTGAGAGAGAGAGATACACACCCACACCCAGGGGTTGAACCCAGGATCTCAGCAGTGCTGGGTTCTAAGTCCCCCCTCCCATCCCCCACAGGGCAAATTTGGCATGACGACACTGGCATGATGCAAAGCTGAACCACTATGCAGACAACTCAGCAGCCTACTTGCTGTACTGCCGCCTCTTACGGTCACCGGCTCACAATCGGGCACTTTGGAAAGAGAAGTTCACGCATGATCTGATAGGCTCACAGGTGACGACATCACATTTACGCCACTCTATTTAAGACCGAAACAGGAGGATGTGTCCACAATTCCGGCTGTCGCCTGATGAGGTTGGTTGTTGTTGCTGTTGTGATTACCGGCGAAACGTCACGGCTACTCGAATTGTAAATTGTGTGGTGGGAGGACCCGGAGAAAAATCCACCCAACCACGGGGAGAAAGAGAGACGCAAACTACAAATATACAGTAGGCGTCAGAGTCGGGCTCGAATCCACGACCTCCTGAAAACCAGGCAAGGTAGTTAACAACTCCTTGCCACCGTGATGATGATGAGAGAGCGAGAGACGCAAACTACAAATATACAGCAGCAGGCGTCAGGGTCTGGATCGAACCCACGACCTCCCGTACACCAGGCGAGGTAGTTAACATTGCCTAGCTATCGGGACGCCCACGAACATCTGCAACGAGAGGTGAGCACGCTCCACCCCTGGCCACGTCAGACGGGCAGGACAGCGGTTGGAGATAGCCGACGCATGAAAAGGCTTTTGATCCCCCAGTTGGGAAGACCCGGGGGGGGGGGGGGGGGGAGTAGGGAACAGGAGTCGAACCTTGAGGCTGACGTTGCGGCCGAGTGTGGCGCTGCTGTAGGGGGTGCAGGGCGCGGAACTGGGGGCAGCGCGCCGGGATTTTTTCCCTTTTAGCCGGAGCGCTGATTCCCCGCTCACATCCAGCTGCTGGTCGGTGAAACACCAAGCGGACGTGGAGTTGGCAACCGCGGAATTTATTCGAAGAGTTACAAATAAATATTCCGTTTAACGTCCCCCTCCGGCCGCCGGCGCGAAGGCCCGGCAAAGCGCGAGATAGGAGAGGCGGGATAAGCGGCCGTGAGCCGTGCTTGCTTGTACATTAGCCATGCGGCGTGCTCGTAAAAAGCCTTATACGGCGGCGGAGGGGGTGGGGGGGGGAATGGGAAGGCAACGGTCGCAGATCGTTTTGAGATGATGGGGGCCCCCCTAAACCACAATGCGGTTGCATTTTTTCGAGAGTTGGTGGTGGTCTAGACAAGGCTGGCAAGCATCCTGTACGTTGCAGTGGGGGGGGGGGGGGGGGGGTGGTTAACATGGCGTGCACGCAAGGCATGATGGGAACGATGTCTCCCTGTTCCCTGCTGCAAAAGGTTTAGACTTTTTATTTGATATGTTTTCTATACTTTCAACTTTTTATATTTTTTAAAAGCTGAATAATCTCCAGAGCAGATTTGGGGACCCGTTGCAACTGCAGAGCGATCGTTCCATTTAAGAATCGAGTTCTCGCGGAGGGTTTTAATTTGAAAGCGCCGGGTGCAAGCAAAGGAGGGGAGAGGTTCTTGCATTGGCCGACATCACGAATTTCTACGCGCGCGAGCCTTTGAGGGTTTCACGGACGTACGTTGAACTTATTTTGCACCACCGTACGTAGCCAACCGTAGCTAAGAGGAGGTGCGGGGGCCAATTCGTTTGTCTAGATGATGATTTACAAGTGCCATAGCTCCATGTGGCTTCCTAACACTGGAAGGAAGAACGTTCCAGACGGCGACAGAAGCGCATCCGAAAGCGCCACGTGATGATGCAGTGCGGCCCTCCGAATGCGGTTTTGTGGTTACGCCCCGTGCCGTTCGGCGCGATGTCTGACGTTCCGCTCCCCACGTGCCGGAAGCTGCTTCAGGAAGCTGACGAAAACGAAACTCTTCAGCTCCTGAAGAGGCTCCTCCGGCACGCGTGGCGCAAAATGTCGGACGCCGTGCAGAACGACGCGCGCACGCGCCGCCGTGTGCGTCTGACCGTTTTAACGTTTAGACTTGAACAAAAAAACACTCAAAAACAAATAAAAGCGCGGTGCAGAACAAAAAATCATGCGCACAGGCAACCGTAAGGCTTTGCAGACTGTGGCTGCCGAACAAGGCCTCAATAGCCATTCGCGTGAAGGAGGCCTTGAAACCGAGACGATATTATCGTTCGTTTATCCTTTGCGAGGCAGCCCGACCCAAGCAATAGACAGCCAGGAAGATGGAAAAAACATTGGAGAATGCCCTTCATGCCAGTGTCGTACACCAAACTCAAAGCCTCTCCCGAGGCACAATTTCCCCACTTCCCAGTACTCGACAGGAAGTCGTGAAAGCCATGCGTTCGGGGGTGCATTCTGGGAAGGGAGAAGAGATGGTGCATGGTGAGAGCTGGGCAGGCCGTGGTTGAAACTCCGGACGCGAAGTCAGCGACAAAGACGCTGCATGCGACAAGTCAACGTCGACTCCACAACGTAGACACCACATCAGCATGTATGCAGTCTGTTCTCCTGCATAACGCCGCGCGTTGTTTTTACAACGTGAATTGGGATGTAACGCGACGAATGTTGCATTAGGAGGCACAATTTTTTTCATAACGCGGATGCCAATTGGATATATAACGTGATCTAGCGAAAGGAACTACGTCGCGTGAGTAGTAATAAGCGGTTTTAACGGCTGCCTCGGCCTAGCATCATCATCACACGAGGCATTGCGATGCTGCTGGATGCTTCTAGACGCTACCCACGCACGCCTTGGTCCTTGCTCAGCCTGCGTTACGGATCTCACGCGTTATCGCGGACCGTGCTTTACCTCAATATTATTCATTATGACGCGATTGTTCCACATGACGCGATTGTTCCATAGGAACTTAACGACTACCACCGCCACATTAGAGGAGAACAGGCTGTACTCCGCTCGACTGCCACCACTCACAGCCTAGTCACCATTGTCCTAGCGACGGCTGGGCTCCATGGCGTTGTTGCGTCGTGTTCGTTGTGGCAATGTTCACACTCCGGTGCCCCTTACTGGACATCTGTGCCAAAAGAGCTTCATAGCTCATCGGATTCCTCCTCCAGATTCTGATTCTGACACCCAGGGCTCATTACCGGCTCAAGTTAAGCACGGTGTTGGGCTGGCTCGGTTGAGCAAAAGCCGTGAACAAGAAAACATCAAGCTAAACCGAACCGATTAGCCGGAGACTCGTGTTCCAAGACGTCTGGAAGTTGCAGGGTAGTGGTTGGGTCGTCCCGTTTACCGCCGAATCTCTCACGGAACGTGCGAGCAGGTTCAACCTAGTCGCGCTGTTGTTTTTTAAAGACGTTGTACTGTACTCACCGCGCAGAACCATAGCGACACGACCACCGCCGCCACTCTACGATAGCCGGCGACAAACTGGGGCCGCACTCCTCCCCTCCCGCCGCATGGCCTTGTGGGGGAACGTCGGTACATCTACCGACCTGAAGACGTGCCGATGAAGTTATTTTATTGTAGTTTTTATTCCGATTCCGTTCCGATCATGTACACGTACGTCATCGGAGCGGATTGTACACATGTGTAGTGACATCGCTGGATGTCACCATGCTGTGGGTGCAGTACCGGCCCTAGAGGGGCAGGGCATGCAGTGAATAACTGTGCTGGATGGCACCATGCCTTAAGTGCAGTGCCGACCCTTCAGGACAGGGTGTGTGGGTGCCGACCGAAGGATAAAGTTGCGTGAGGCCATGGCACTCTGGTTGACCCGGGAAGACACGTGACTGGTTAAGTTGACAGAGGGGGATAGGGGGGGTCATGTGATTGGGACCCAGATCCTTCCCGAGGATTCTGGAAGGTGGGCGTGGCCAAGGGCGGGGACCGGCCATGCCGCAGAGAAGAGAAGCTGGGTCCCGAGAGGGACCAGGGTTGTTGTTCATCCTGGAAGAAACCTTCATCTACGAGTCTCCTACACATAGACCTGGGCCGAAGTCGTTGGTCCCGGTCCGTAGTAGTGGTTACGTTGTGACTAGTGTAGTTAGCCTGGTGGTCACCACCTTAGGTTGTTATTATGTTAAGGGGAAGTTATCCCGTGTGTTGGAACTTAATAAATGTGTTGCCTCCAAAGTTGACGTCTGCGACTCAGTTGAACCCATTACACATGTATACATACATACAGTGTATCCATACACACACAAGAGAAAGTGATGATGTACGTGTACGCACACGTATGTATCATCGGAACGGGAAATATTTAATAATAAGCATTTACTCTTTCGCTCGAGTACCTCCGTGATAGGTGGGCCTGACTGCCCGGTCGCAAACGACACCTTGGATGAGACTAAAGTCTTCCCTTTTTGTGGCCTGATGCTGAATTGACGCTCAGTTCGGAATGTCCGTACGTGGCTGAACCGAGCCGATGTCAGGGGCAGCCAATAAGTGCGATGGGCCACTTTGAATTTACAGCTGAGAGCCGAGGAGTCGGGCAACCAGGTAAGGCCCATTGAAGGATGATAGACTAAGTTGACCCCCTGGGAGGGATGTTGGACTGAGCCGACCTTCTGGTTCAGACCGCCAATGTGGCCTCCGGACGAGACTGATGCTCTCCCTTGCCCTGCCCCCCCCCCACCCCTCCTCAGCCCTCCCCCGCCCCCCCCCGAATTGAGTCACCTGATCAGCCGCCCCCCTCGATCCCCCACGCTGCTTAGCGGGGAGCGGGGGCGGCGGGGGGATGGTTCTGGGGGGTCCAAACCCAGCGACGCAATCGCTGTACCACCGCTCGGAGCCCAGCGGGGGGCACAGGGCCAGCGCACAGTCACGTGGCTGTGTGTGGGTGTTTGAGGGGTGTGTGGCGTGTGGGTGTGTGTCGTGGGGTGTGTGTGTGTGTGAGGGTGTGGGGGTGTGTGTCGTGGGGTGTGTGTGTGGGGGGGTGTGTGGGATGGGGTGTGTGGTGTGTCATGTGTGCGTGTGTATAGGGTGTGTCGTGTGGGGTGTGTAGTGCAGTGTGTGTATAGTGAATGTGTATAGGTTATGTTTGAATGGTGTGAGTGTGTGTATAGCGCGGTGTGTATGTGTAGATACAATGTGTATGTGGTGCAGCGTGCGTGGTGCAGCGTGTGCGTTCACAGGGATTTGGCAAGCAAAGTGCCGTGCTCAGTGTTGTTTTGTCGTGGGTGCATAAGGGACACAAAAGGAGAGGAAACAAGAGAAGAACACGTAAGCAGGCAGAATAAACAACACGTAAGCAGGCAGAATAAAGAAGCACAGCATTCACGGAGAGTTTAGGCGCGGAAGATAAAGTCGCGTTCTGGCAGTGAGAACGCTAAAGGTGCTGCCCTGCAATTATTATGATTATTATTCGCTCACGCCACGAACTACTCTTCCACGCGGGGCAGATGTTTTTTTTTTAAGAGGAAAGAGCACCCACACTTTGCCCCCCACCGCACGAGACTCAGTGAGGCTTATCTTCATAAACGAGAGGAATCATTGTAATGCTAAGGTTGAATAACTAGGCCTCGAAAAGTCTGCCTTTACCCGCCCTCCCCTCTTGCCTAGACATCTGAGCCCAGAGAAGTGACTCAAACAGGGCAGGGGGCCTAGGAAATACTTGTGGCCTCCCACGAACTCTACGCATTCGTGAAGAGCACAGGCCCCAAAGGGGAATGCATAGAAGACGTTTCAGAGTTTGAGTGAATAATAGTTGGAGAATGCACAATACATTGACCAAACTAAAATGATAAACTATTTTATTTGTTACCAGGTCAGGGCCCACTAAGCTGCTATGTATTTTTCAGAAGTGACCTGACCACAAATGATGGCTCAAAAAAAGTTGCTTATCATGTGTAAATTTATCGCAGCCAAATAATCTAAACGCACGTTTCTAAACGGGGCCTTCAAGGAATATGAAGATCAAATAGCATAATTTTTTAGAGTGCGTCGCCATCATAGTAAGTCGATCATCAGCAGTAAAGTCCAACTTTACTGCTGATGATTTCAAACACTTTCTACGGCATGTACACTAAATGGGGAATGGCTTTAAAAGTTGTATAATCTCCCTGTAGATGTAGATGCCACCGCCACGATCTATTGCACAGTGGTTGAATTTACGACTCTCGGTCGGAACAGGCAACTGGACATACGGACAGCTTCGTTCGTATGGCTGAAAGTTTGTAAGTCGAATGTTTGTAATTAGAGGGGTCCCTGTAGTGTTAAAATTAAGCAGGAAATTATTGAAAAACACGAAAGAGGTGTCAAAGCAACTGCTCTAGTTAATATGGCCTGCCCCAATATGTTCTTATATCGTGTATTTATTAAATTGTGTGTTTAAACTATATAAACTACCGATCTCCAACTGCTCAGCACTCCCAGATCTAGGTTGTGCCCTTTTGGCGATCGTGCTTTTGTTAGCGTGGCACCCAAGCTATGGAACGCCGTGCCACTTGAAATCAGGGAGTCGCAGTCGGTAGATATATTTAAGTCTGCTTTGAAATCGCATCTCTTTAAACTGACCTTCACTCTTTAGTTTGTTTCCTGCTTTTCATGCATTTCAAACATTGATCGCTAGATGGATGCGTATGAGTGTCTTGTACACACAAAGAAAGGGAGCAGAGGGCAAACCTCTTCAGCGAGAGGGATGTCAGGAGGGGAAGCCTGGGAGAGATTGACAGCAGAGCGGGCGGTTTCCATGACGGCCGAAGAATGAGTGGGAGGGGCTTGGGTGGGGTGGGCGTGGCCTGACTCAGGCTCCGTCCCCACGTACAGCTGATTGATTTGGCTGAGGGTGAAGTACTCCTGAAGAGAGAGGGCACGTGGGAGGGGTTAACCAAGCGCCTCCACCCCCCAACGTTAGCGACGTGCTCGCTAAAGCCGGAAAGGTCAGGTTAATAATGGGAGCCGGGTTGAGCACGTGAGCGATCAATCGTTAGCGCAACCAAAGTGGTATGGCACAATAGGAATGAGGTGGAGAGTACGAATGATTTACACTGCAGGTGAGATGGGACAAAGGAGACAAAGTGTAGACAAATGAGGCTACTAACCAAATTGTACCAAACAAGACAGAAAACTTCATGTAAAAGAGAGACTAGGAATGAAGACAGACCGAACGAGACTGACGGTCCAAACAAGACAATTTTTGTTAACATATGTAAAGTTCTTTGTATTGAATCGTGACTCCGAATCATAAAGATTAGTCAAACAATTAGGGGTAGGGGGCGGGGGTGGAAGGTTAATAATTCCATGCCAAATTTAAACACATGCACGTCGTCAGTCATGTTTACAAGGTCAAAGGCATGGGGCGGTTTAGCTATTTCATTCATGCAATTCGGTCGCGTTGAGGCGCGGGTAACCGTTCATTTTAATCAGGAAGTTGGGATGAGTTCCCGATTTTTGGTTTAATACGAAAACATCTGAAAACGTGGCCTAGATACGAAGTTTCGGACGATCAGAAGTCATGCTTTATTTCGGACCGAATTTAGAAGCTACGACGCCACACAGGAAGTGATGCCATTCCCATCCCAATGGCGCCGCAGGAAGTGATGTCACTGCCACGATGCCACAGTAAGTAATGCCACTCTTGCAATGCCACAGGAAGTGATGTAACTTCCTTGACAACGCTGTCCGCAAGCAGCTTGTCAACCAAATTAGGACTACGATTCAAATACAATTTGTCCACTCTCCTTGATAAGGGGAGGCATGCTCATTAATTACAGCGGTGTCGGACTTTGTCATAACCCTAGGCACTACTTTCTCAGACAGCAACAGTGGTCATCTTACAGATGAACTGACCACTGCCATAGGAATGCGGATTTTCCACCCATTTGATCAGGCAGAAGCTGTGACTGTGAATTATCATATTAGCAGCAAACCATACCTGGCGTAGGTTACGGGCGGTTTGAGCAGATGATGATGATGACGAAGACGATAATGACGACGATGATGACGATGATGTTAGTGTGAGTGTGGAGGGGAAGTCAGATGGGGTGTTAATGATGTTGAGTGAGGGTTCGGGTAGAGTTAGGGGTTCCTGTAAATGAAGGGCGGGGAGGAAGGAAGGAAGGAAGGGAGAAAGGAAGAGAGACACACACGGGGCAGGGAGAGAAAGTTGCAAAGAGGTAGAGGTGAGGGGGCAAAGTGACAACAGCACGTCCTCAAAATACCGGGGGCAGAAGGGAAAAGGTGTAGCACCTGCAATTACCCGCTCACGCCACCGCCAGAGAAAGGACCAGCAGCTCTCGCGGGGGGGGGGGGGGGGGAGGACTGTTATAATGCGGAATGCGGCCCCTGTTATAACGTGGAACGAGCGCCGATATAACGCGGAACGCAGCGTTATAACGCGAAACATGCACCTTGTACGTTGATCAGTTTCTCTTATTTCTATCTACGTACACATACGTACAATCCGCTCCGATGACATACAACCCGCTACGATACAATCCGCTCCGATGACGTACCTGTACGTGTACGTCATCGGAACGGAATCGGAAGAAAAAGAATAAAACAACTTCATCGGCACGTCTAGAGCTCGGCAGACGTACCGAGGCTCTCCCAAAAGGCCATGCGGTGGGAGGGGAGCGTGCGGCCCCAGTTTGGCTCCGGCTATCGCAGGGTGGCGGCGGTGGTTGTGTCGCTACGGTTCTCCGTGGTGGGCACAGTACAACATCTTTAAAAACAACGGCGCTGCTGCTGCGCCCATCACTCTTCAACACGAACGCCGAGCAGCTTTGCGCGTTGCTCCCGAGAGATGCGGCGGTGAACGGGACGACCCACCGCACCACACAACCCCGCGACTTGCAGGCACGTCCGGAAACACGGGAGAGGGGTCGAACAGCTGCCCCTAACCCCCCCCCCCCTCCAGACAGATCCAGGGTGCCTCACATCATCTCATCTCAGCCGTTCTCTGCAATCTTGGCTCTAGGGCACCACCCCCCCCCCCCCAGCGGTTGTTCCCTACAAAGCCCAGGAACCGTTAAGACTCTGAAAAGTAGCGGTGGGTTGGGGAATACAGGGTGCTTCAAAAAAATGTTAACACTTCGGAGAATTTGCAACAACGCCACCAGAAAAGTGCTGCCTTCGAGCTCTGGAGACCACCTGGAAAAGATTCCAGGCGTGCGTTGACAACGACGGCGAACAAGTGGGAGACATTAACATTATATTTGTCATCATGTCACAGTGTATTAGCCGCTCTTTTCCCATTAAAAACGACAAGTCCCATGTAAGTGTTAATTGTTCTGAAGCACCTTGTATTTACGGCTACGTTTTTTTTGGTGTTTTTCGTTCCGTCCTCCCCCCCCGCCGCCCCCCGAATCTGACAGAGCGCGGTTAACGGAACGGTGGTTTGGGGCACGTGGGGGGGTAGGGGGGGGTAGGGGGGGTGGGGGGGGAGAGAAAGTCAACACGGGGGCACCACTGCGGTCACCTCTCTGAGGGCAGGAGACAGGGCGGCTCCGACGTCGACGTTCCCCATCATCTCCGCCAGCTCCACCTCCACCAGCGACAGCTCCTCCCTCTCCTACGGGCGGCACAAAGACAAAGATCCCCCCCCCCCCGGACGTGTAGCCTTAACAGACTGTGGGGGCAAGTGCTGTTAGCGGCAGCACTGGTGAAGGGCGGTACTGTGGCACACGAGGGGGTGGGTGGCCAGCACGACGCCCGGCCGCCTTTGTCTCCCCAGTGGCGATGTTTACACACCGTGCTAAGTACTCATTTGAGGCTGATTCGACCTAGGGGAGACCCAGTGAACCGGTTCAGATAATCGTCACTGGTGTTGGCCGTGAGCGGGAATCGAACTTGGGCTACTGGGTTTTTAGATCAGCGAGCTAACTGCTGCACTACCGCTCCCCACCACACAGACACACATACACAGTCAAAGGTTGATGTTGGTGATGATGAAACGTCGTGAGAATTGTTTTATTATGTTTTATTTTTATTATTTTATTACTTCCCTTCTACGTGACTTTACCGAAAGAAACAAGAAGTTGGTGATGATGTTGATGTTGGTGATGATGTTGATGTTGATGGTGGTGATGATGTTAGTGATGCTGTTGATGTTGGTGATGATGTTGGTGATGATGTTGACATTGATGTTGATGGTGATGTTGGTGATGATGTTGGTGATGTTGATGATGATGTTGTTGATGATGTCGGTGATGTCTCACCCTTTCGTAGAGGCGCACGAGCGTGCCCCTCTCCCGCTGGAGTCTCTGCCTCTCCACCTCCGCCGCCCGCAGCGTCTGGTTGGCCTGACGCTCCAGCGCACACAGACGCTCCTACACAGACAAAGGTCCCCCGTGTAGCCTCAAACAGCGCCTATCAAGGCCGGCATGTTGTCACCCTCCTCTGGTCCCCGTGGTCCCCGCGTGTCTCCACTTGTCCCTACTTCTCTGTCCACGCATCTCTCCGTGTGCCTCTCCCCGTGTGCCTCTCCTTACATGTCCCCGCGCGTCTCTCTTGGCGTCTCGTCTCTCTCCCCACGTGTCTCCCCATGTGCCCCCGCGTCTCTCCCCATGTGTCTCTCCCCGCGTGTCTCATCCCGCGTGTCTCTCCCCCCGCGTGTCTCTCTCTGTGTGTCTCTCCCTGCACGTCTCTCTCTGCGTCTCTCTCCCCACGTGTCTCCCCATGTGCCTCTCCCCCCGCGTCTCTCCCCGTGTGTCTCTCCCCGCGTGTCTCATCCCGCGTGTCTCTCCCCCTGCGTGTCTCTCTCTGTGTGTCTCTCCCCACGTCTCCTCGTGTGCCCTCTCCCCCCGCGTGTCTCTCTCCGCACGCGAGGCACCTTGCGAGAGACGATGGTGCGTCTCAGCTCCGTCATGTCCTTGAGCACACTGTGCAGTCCGGCCTCCCTCTCCTCCTCCAGCCGCGACTCCGTCTCCAGCTGCTGGAACTCCAGGTCCTCGAAGCGGCGAGCGCCGCACTCGAGCTGGTCGCTCACCTGGGACATCGTCGTCGTCATCATTGTCACTCTCGTCATCATCATCACCGTCGGCGTCATCATCATCACCGTCGGCGTCATCATCATCATCGTCGCTCTCGTCATCATCATCGTCATCATCGTCATCATCATTGTCGCTCTCGTCATCATCATCATCGTCATTATAATCATCGTCACTCTCGTCATCGTCATCTTCATCGTCGCTCTCGTCATCATCATCATCACCGCCATCGTCATCATCACCACCATCGTCATCATCACCGCCATCGTCATCATCACCACCATCGTCATCATCACCACCATCATCATCATCACCATCATCATCATCACCACCGTCGTCATCATCACCACCGTCATCATCATCACCACCATCGTCATCATCACCACCGTCACCATCATCACCACCATCGTCATCATCACCACCATCATCATCATCACCACCATCATCACCACCGTCGTCATCATCACCACCGTCGTCATCATCACCACCATCGTCATCATCACCATTGTCATCATCATCATCACCACCATCGTCATCATCACCATCATCATCATCACCACCGTCGTCATCATCACCACCGTCGTCATCATCACCACCGTCGTCATCATCACCACCATCGTCATCATCACCATTGTCATCATCATCATCACCACCATCGTCATCATCACCACCATCATCACCATCATCACCACCATCGTCGTCAACATTTAAGAAAACCCAAAGTTTCTTCAACTTACAGTTTTCCGCGGCGCCAGGAGATGGAACCTGCATACCGTGCCCCCCCCCCCCCCCCCCACGGCAGCGTGAGCGGCGCTGGCGCGGTCTGCGTAGGGTGTGGGGGGTGCGGGGGGGGGTGGGGGGGGTGCGAGGGGGTGGGGGGAGGGTGCGGGGGGGGCAGGGGGGGTGTCGACGGGGGGGTGCGGGGGGGGGGGTGACGAACCATGCGTAGCTCCTCATCCATCTGCTCCCTGAGAGCCTCAGGGCAGCTATGGAGCTGCGTTTCAACGTCTGACTTCTTGGCGCGAAGATCGTCCAGATTCTGCCTCTCCTCCACCAGCCGGGCCTTACCCTGGGGCCACGGCGCGGTGCGGCACGGTCGTTCAAACGGCGGCGGCGGCGGTGGTGGTGGTGTTAGTAGTGGTGGGAGTTACGGTGGTCGTCGTGGTGGTGGTGTTAGTAGTGGTGGGAGTTATGGTGGTGGTGGTGGTGGTAGAGTGGTGGTGAGGTTGTGATACAGGTGGTAGTGATGATGGTGATGTTGATGTTGGTGATGGTGGTGTAGGTGGTGGTGGCGGTGACGATGATGGTGGTGTAGGTGGTGGTGATGATGATGGTGGTGATGATGATGGTGGTGGTGGTGATGATGATGATGGTGGTGTAGGTGGTGGTGGTGGCGATGATGGTTGTGTTGGTGGTGATGATGATGGTGGTGGTGATGATGATGATGGTGGTGTAGTTGGTGGTGATGATGATGATGGTGGTGTAGGTGGTGGTGATGATGATGATGGTGGTGATGATGATGGTGGTGTAGGTGTGGTGGCGATGATGGTGATGGCGATGATGATGGTGATGATGGTGGTGGTGGCGGCGATGATTTTGGTGGAGCGAGCGAGGTAGACGGTGCACGTGTGCCCATGCACGCACACAGCGGCGCGTGGATTACACGCACGCACGCGCATGCAGGTAAACACACATACACACAAACACACACACACATAAACACACAAACACACGCGCGCAAACACACGAACAAACGCAGACAAACACACACAAACGCACACACGCAAACACACACACACACACACAATGAAATGTGTTAGCAGGCCATGCAATAGACAGCACAATCCGGGATTAACTTTGCAAACGGCACGTGCGTTTACCCGCCCGACGCTGCGCGGATAACCGGCGATGATGGCGGTGGTGGAGCGATGGGGGGGGGGGCGTTAATGCAGCCAGGCCGTTAGCGCGTCTGCTGGCAAGCGGCGTCGTGCCGAGTGGGGGGGGGGAAGGGTTGGTGGACCACGCACGGAGAGATGTTGGGGAAACTCCCTTCCACCCGTGGACTAATCCCCATCTGTTCCACCTCACTCCCTTCTACCCGCGTGGGTGTCGACTAGGAGCCGTACCCCCTGGCTCTGCCAAGTTAGAAGGCGGCACACAGCAGCAGAGCGCCGACTAATCCACATCTGTTCCATCTGCCCCGCAAGAATGTACGCGCGTGCACGTGGGTTTCCTCCGGGTGCTCCGGTTTCGGAGGGCGAGGTGGGGGGGAGAAGGGAGGGAGAAGCGTGCGGCGGTGGTGTCATCGTCGTCACCTTGTCTCTCTGGCAGGCGACGCGCGCCTCCAACTCCGACATCTTCCTCTGCAGCGCGGCGATCACCTCCTGGTCCTTGCCGAGGTTCGACTTCTCTGCCGCCTTCTCCCCCTCCAGCAGCGCTCGCTCCATCTCCGCCTGCGGCGTCGTCGCCGTCGTCATCAGCATCGTCGTCGTCATCAGCGACATCATCAGCGACATCATCGGTGGCAGCACCATCATTATCAGCATCATCATTATCATCAGCAGCATCATCGTCATCAGACAACATCGTCATTATCAGCAGCATCATCGTTGTTGTCATCATCATCATCAGCAGCATCAGCAGCAGCATCATCATCATCATCATCGTAATCAGCAGCATCGTCATCAGCGGCATCATCATTATCAGCAGCAGCAATGTCACCATCATCACCAGCAGCAGCAGCAGCATCAGCAATGTTAGAAGCACCGCTGAAGCCATCATCGTCACCATCATCATCATAAGCAGCGTTCAGTTCTTTTGAGCTGGTGGTCTGGACAAGGCATGCAACGCTGCACACCTGTGTGCGTGCGTGCCATCTACATCTGCAGAACATGAACCAGTGGTAACTTTCAAAGCCATTCCCCCCGTGTTTAGTGTACATGCGCGGACAATATATTTGGAATGGTCAGGAGTAAAGTTGGACTTACGAACAAATCGACGTACGAACGCACCTCTGGAGCCTAATGCGTTCGTAAGTAGACGAGTCCCCGTAGTTTAACCGTCTTTAGTTTAGCTTTCTGAAAAAGAGCTACATACCTCGCGCGCGCAGTCCTCCAACTGGCTCTGCACGTCGTGGATCCGTCGTTTCAGCTCCTCCACCACCGCCACCAGCTGGGCCCTCCTCACGTCCAAGCGCATCACTTCCTGCCGGTGCTCCGCCCCCCGCCGCATCACTTCCTGCTCGAGCCCCACCTCCCGGCGCATCACTTCCTGCTTCCGTTCCGCCAACTTCAGCCTCGCCTCCTGTCTGGGCGCCCTGCGGGATTGTTCGGGCGGGCTCGGCGCTCTGTCGTACGACGACATGGTCTGGATGTAGCCCTGAAAAATACGCGAGGAAAAAACGGGGGGTGGAGGGAAATAATAATAATATGCTAAATTCCTCTGTTGATATGCAAATTCCTTTGTCAAGACGCTCTTCCCCCTCCAACCCAGCTTAAATATACGCTGCCAAGCCTGGTGGTGTTCATTCAGACGCTGTCTTTCCAACAGATCTGTTCTTCACCTGAGGACGGCTGCTTGCGTTGTGGCCGAAACGTGGTGAGAATTATTTTATTAAGTTTTATTTTTATTATTTTATTATTTCCCTTCTACGTGACTTTACCGAAAGAACCAAGAAGAATAATAAACAACATTAAGATTTGTTTAACACGTAGGCTTTCGCGAGCAATATCATCCACAATACATCTTTTTTGGGTGAGATCGCGTAAATATATAAATGTTGTGTCGTTAAGCCCGCCACCACCCGACACAGCCTACTTGTAAGGGTTTGTCACGTAAACAGATCTGGCTGTCGCCTGATGATGCCGGTTGTAATTACTGGCGAAACGTCGTACTCAGTTTGTAAATGTTGTGGCTTTGCTCTCCAACACACCAGCTAGTGCTGTACTAGTAACGAATTGGCACGTTCTGTTTACGGGACAAACCTTACTAGTTGGCTGTGTCGGCTGGTTGTGGGTTTAACGACACATTAGCGCGCTGCGCCAGGAGCCCACCGGCCGGAGTTCGATTCCCGCTCGTGGCCAACACCATTGGCGATTATCTGAACCGGTCCTTGGCCTCCGCGAGGTGGGCTCAGCCGCAAATGAGTAGCTGGTGCGGTGTGTAGTCAATATGATGCCGCAGCCGCGAAGCCACTCTGCGGGCGCCCCACCGACGACCCCACCACCGCCAAGCGACGGGGTCGACGCTGCTTCCCCCTCACCAATCTCCCGCACAAACAAACACACACACACCCACATAGAGCCTCGCCGGGAAGTCGCCTGGCCCACAGGTTTTCACCCAGGAGCCCCCCTTGTAGGGGGGGGGAACATTCTCCATGGTTTTCCCTGAGGCCAGGGAATTGACCGAGGCTTTCCCCAGGCTGAATTACACTGCGGCGCCGTGAATTAACGTGGAAATGCACGATCACGACGGGGCTGCGCACCCACCGCGGACAGAAAACGCACACGACACACACGGGTCAGCGGGCAGGTAGGGGGGGGGGGGGCGGGGCGGAACTTCGAACGGAGGGAAAACGGGGCCGTCCCTCTGATTGGTCACTGAGAGCAACGGTGCACGTAGAACTCGGGTACAGGCGAGCGACCTGATTGGCAGGAAAGCCCAGCGATCTGATTGGCCAGCGGGTCGGCGCCGAGTTATCTTTGATGTAGGTAACAATAAAAGGGCCGTAGAAAGGGCAGGGACGGTCTACTCTCCAGTCCAGCCACTCGAACGTCCGTGTGACGAGTCGAAGTGCAGTGAGGACGGGCCCACCGGAGCGTTGAACCGTGAATACGAGGGAGATAGTGAATAGTATAGGAACCCCTTGAGAGGGTAATTCGAAGTAAGCCGGGCGAATTGGGTGCAGATTGTCGAGAGGCAGAGTGGTTTCCTCGCCGATTTCAGCTCCGAGCCACGTAGAGAGTAATCTCAGTCACACGGAGAATAAAACCATTTAGTAATCAATACACCTTTCGTGTGTTTTCTGCGAAGTGTGGAGAGAGTGGTAACGTGGTGTGTCAGAGGTCGCAATCGGGTACCCGATACCTGTACCCTACCCGTACCCGGCCGGGTACGGGTAGCCGGGTATCGGGTAGGGTACGGGTACCCGTTTGCGACCCTGGTGCGGCCGGGTACGGGTACGGGTAGGCCGTGAGTCACTGGTGAGTAACCGTTTGTCACTCATTTCCCAACGTCTTGTCTCTTCTCACAATTAAACTTCCTAGAATCAACCCACCCGCGCCTGCAACATGGCTTCATCCCAGAGGTCGCAATCGGGTACCTGATACCTGTACCCTACCCGTACCCGGCCGGGTACGGGTAGCCGGGTATCGGGTAGGGTACGGGTACCCGTTTGCGACCCTGGTGCGGCCGGGTACGGGTACGGGTAAGGAATCAAAACCCGTTTGCGACCTCTGTGGTGTGTGTACGTGCGTACGTACGTAAAGAGCGGCGGGTGTATTCAGTGATAGAACAACCACGCGTCGGGGCCGTTGGTTGTGCGCGAGAGCATATTTACCCACGTGTTTGTGCTCGCCCATGCGTGTTCACTCGGGGCTTAACACGCATGCCGTATCATCCGTAGTGTGCTGTTGCCCTGGGAATTAACGAGCAGGTCCTCTGGTCGCCGATTCCCTATCGCACGTGATGTGCGGGGGGCGGCAGCGCAGCATTGATGGCACACGCAGCGCGGGTGTCACGCAGTGATACATCGACGAGCGTGTATCCCACGCCTGCAACTTGATTAATGAGTTGGGAGCCGGAGCGGTGATGTAATCCATGGCCACGCAAGTGTTGATGCAATGGGTTGAAGCCCTGCCAGCAACAAGCGCCGATTAATTAATCTCTCACGAACGGCTGCGACGGCCAATTAAACGATATTACGTAAAAGGGAAATAATAAAATAATACAAATAAAACGTAATAAAATACAATTCTCACGACGTTTTGGCCACAACGCAAGCAGCCGCCCTCAGGTGAAGAACAGGTCTGTCGGAAAGACAGTACACGCGGCGTCTGGGGTATGCCGATAGCATAAAAATGAGATGTGATAGAGCAAATCTGAGATCAGATTTGGAATCAGCACCCTGAAATTAGTCTAAAACAGCTGCAAAAGTCCAGGCCAAAAAATAAAGTTTTTTTTTGTTGTTGACCAGTGTTATTAATACTGGAGCAGGAATCTGATTACAATAACAAACAACGTAAAAACCATCAGAGGAGTGCAAAGTGTAAGAAGGTTAAACAAATCACTCAAACAAAAATCCATAAATGAAACCAAACTAATTTCTATCTTACCAGGCAAAGCCCACTGAGCCATTAGCTTCTTTTTCAGAAGCGACCTGGCCACAAATGAAAACTGAACAAGACGTAGGCAGAAGCAGAGGTGGGCTATGGTGGCAGAGGTCGCAAACGGGTTTTGATTCCTTACCCGTACCCGGCCGCACCAGGGTCGCAAACGGGTACCCGTACCCGTACCCGCCCGGGTACGAGTACCCGTACGCTACCCGTACCCGTACCCTACCCGAAATGAGTGACAAACGGTTACTCACCGGTGACTCACGGCCTACCCGTACCCGTACCCGGCCGCACCAGGGTCGCAAACGGTAGCCGGGTATCAGGTAGGGTATGGGTATCGGGTACCCGGTTGCGACCTCTGGCGTGGAGAAGGTTGCCAATGGCTGCGGAAGGTCCCCCGCATGAGTGGGACAAAAGCGTGGAAGAAGGGGACATACAGTAAAACCTCGCAATTTGATCATTCGTAATCGGGGATAATTCGCCACGGCGCGTCAGTAATTCGCCACGAGCCGAATCGCCGTGCCGAACGGTCCAATCTGGGCATGGCGCATGGAGCGATGTCGTGCGCCACGAGCGTGGCGAGCGTGGTGAGCGTGGTGTACGTGGCGAAGCGTGGTGATCGTGGTGAGCGTCAGTGTGGACCCGGGAGAGAGAGAGAAACACCGCAAACTCCAAATATACAGCAGCAGGCATCAGGGTAGGTAGGGGTCGAACCCACAACCTCCTGTATACCAGGCGTGGTTGTTAACATCTCCTAGCCACCGTGATGATGATGAGAGAGAGAGAAAGAGACACCACAAACTCCAGATATACAGCAGGCGTCAGGGTCAGGATCGAATCCACGATCTTCTGTATACCAGGCGAGGTAGTTAACATCTCCTAGCCACTGTGGGATCGGACCCACGACCTCCTGTACACCAGGCGAGGTAGTTAACATCTCCGAGCCACTGTGGGATCGGACCCACGACCTCCTGTACACCAGGCGAGGTAGTTAACATCTCCTAGCCACTGTGGGATCGGACCCACGACCTCCTGTACACCAGGCGAGGTAGTTAACATCTCATAGCCACCACGATCCCCCCATTTACCTGACTGTCGGGGCAAGTGGTGTTAGCGAGCACCTGTTAGGGCTGGAAATACGCACCAGCGAGTGCTGTGGTCACCTTAGTCTCCCCAGTGCTCATGCATGTGCACACAGCATAAGGTAGTCGTTTGTGGCCGAGTCGACCTAGGGGAGACCCAGGACCGCTTCAGATAATTATCGTCACCGCCGTTGGTGGCCATGAGCGGGAATCGAACTTGGGCTCACGGGGGTTGGTGGGGCGACTGTAACCACTGCACCAACGCTCCCCACACACGCACGCATCCAGCCACTTTGTAAAACAAACACGCTTCATTAAATAATAAAGTTACATATATATAAATAACGGCGAGCAGCTGTTGACAAACTGGTCCGGTGACTCGGCAGGCCCCCACTGTATTCGGAGTCGCAGGCCACAGTCCACATCACCTCCCCGCAGCGTTTTCCCTTCGCTGGGGGGCAAGCCGTCGCAGCACAGGTAGCACAACAACAACGACCGCCATTCGCCACTAAGTGGCGGTGACGTCACCACGACACTTGTGCCAGGCCATGTGCACCTTGAGGCCACCACGTGAAGTGTCGAACGCCCGCTGGCAGGAGGTCACGGGGCAGACCCAGCAGGTGCCACGGGTCGACTGACCGAGATGACCGAGACAAGTGGCTGATGCACCACCTGTGCCCCCTACTGTACCAACTTGCTGTGCTTTAGCTACCCGGCGCTCCGCTCGTTGTTGTGAGCCTGATCAACGGCCCTCACCTCGTCCTGCGCGCTCTCTGTGCTGCTGCTGCACTCATCACGGCACCCTGTCGGTCCCTCTCCTCCTCCGCCTCCTCCTCCCCTCGTCGCCATCGTCACCGCGGTCCCTCCCATCTCCGCGCTGGCGTCGTCATGACGACTGTCATCTCCAGGGCTCTGAGCTTGGGTGGGAGTGGAGACACGGCGACACGAAACGTCACGTTGACAATCGTCACGGGGACATGAAACGTCACGGCGACAATTGTCATGGCGACAATCGCCACGGCGACACAAATCGTCATGGCGACAATCGTCACGGGGACACGAATCGTCACGGCAACACCAACACCACTTCCACCGCCACCACCACCATAAAACAAAGATCCCCGTGTAGCCTGTAACAGACTGTAGGGGCAAGTGCTGTTAGCGAGCAGCAGCAGCACCTACGAGGGCCGGCACGGCACACGAGGGGGTGGGTGGCCAGCACCACGCCAGACCGCCTTTGTCTCCCCGGTGGCGATGTTCGCTACGCACCGCACCAGCTACTCATTTGAGGCTGAGCCCACCTCGCGGAGGCCCAGGACCGGTTCACATAATCGCCAATGGTGTTTGGCCGCGAGCGGGAATCGAACTCCGGCCGGCGGGCTCCTGGCGCAGCGCGCTAACCGCAGCGCCACCGCTCCCCACAAGCCCTGGGAATGGTTGCTCCTCTCTCACGCTCACGAGGTCCATAACGGCTGCGTCGGTACCTGAGTCCACGGTTGCCGCGGAGACCGGCGCCGGTGTAGCCATGGCGACAGGACGGGCCTCCTCACCGCTGCCGCCCCCCTCCGTCTTACCCATAATGCCGCGCAGGTCCGAGATGCTGCCCTTCTCGTGATACTCGGCGCAGAGGCTGAGGATCGTTTCCAGCCGCTGGCGCTCCTGCAGGGGCACAAGCAAGTCGCGAGCCGTGGTCAGTCCACTGCTGGATGACGGACGGATATGACCGATGCCCCTACCGGGAAGCAAAGGTCGCAAACGGGCTTTGATTCCTTACCCGTACCCGGCCGCACCAGGGTCGCAAATGGGTACCCGTACCTGTACCCGGCCGTACCCGTACCCTACCCGTACCCGGCCGGGTACGGGTAGGGTACGGGTATCGGGTACCTGATTGCGACCTCTGGGATGAAGCCATGTTGCAGGCGCGGGTGGGTTGATTCTAGGAAGTTGAATTGTGAGAAGAGACAAGACGTTGGGAAATGAGTGACATACAGTTACTCACCAGTGAGTGAGTGGGTGAGTGAGAGGATGGGTGGATGAGTGAGTGGGTTCGTGGATGGGTGAGTGAGTGGGTGTGTGAGTGAGTAGGTGGGTGGGTGGATGGGTGAGTGAGTGGTTGGGTGAGTGAGAGGGTGGGTGAGTGAATGGGTGGCCGACTGGGTGGGTGAGTGGGTGAGTGAATGAGTGGATGGGTGAGTGAATGGCTGCGTGAGTGAGGAGGTGGGTGAGTGAGTGGGTGGGTGAGTGAGTGAATGGGTGGGTGAGTTGGTAACTGTGTGAGTTGGTGACTTGGTGAGTGACTGGGTGAGTAAGTAGGTGGGTGGGTGAGCGAGCGAGCGAGCGAGTGGGTGAGTAGGTGGGTGGGTGAGTGAGTGAGCGAGTGGGTGAGTAGGTGGGTGGGTGAGTGAGTGAGCGAGCGGGTGAGTAGGTGGGTGGGTGAGTGAGCGAGCGAGCGAGTGGGTGGGTGAGTGAGCGAGTGTGTGGGTGGCTGGGTAAGTGAGTATATGGGTGGGTGAGTGAGTGGGTGGGTGAGCGAGTGGGTGGGTGAGCGAGCGGGTGAGTGAGCGAGCGAGTGGGTGGGTGCGTGAGCGAGTGTATGGGTGGCTGGGTAAGTGAGTAGGTGGGTGAGTGAGTGAGTAGGTGGGTGAGTGAGTGGGTGGGTGAGCGAGTGGGTGGGTGAGCGAGCGGGTGAGTGAGCGAGCGAGTGAGCGAGCAAGTGAGCGAGCTTGGCAACCGCGATATGCAGAACAACACGAGCCCACGGTGATTATTCGCAGTGGGGTGGTGGCGGCGGTGGTGGCGGTGAAACTATCCAGGAACGGCCGTGTAAACTTTACACAGAGGCCTTTAAAAGGTGGTTTACGCGTCCCCAGCTGGGTAACGTAAACCTTGCCGGAGAGTTCGTCGCATTGCGACCCAGCGGCGTCGGTTCAGCAGGACTCACTCGGCCCACACCACGAAGGGGCTTGGGTTCGATTCCCGATCTCGGGCGCCTCTGCGTGGAGCTTTCTGTGCGTCTCTACCCCTGTTCTGCAGGAGAGTACGAGTGAGTGGCGTTTGTGTGATCTGCCCCTGTTCTACAGAGTGAGTGGAGTTTGTATGAGTGATTGAGTGAGTGTAGGTGAGTGAGTGAGTGAGTGGATTTGAATGATCTCCCCCTGTTCTACAGAGTGGAGTTTGTATGATCTCCCCCTGTTCTACAGAGTGAGTGGAGTTTGTGTGATACCCCCCTGTTCTACAGAGTGAGTGGAGTTTGTGTGATACCCCCCTGTTCTACAGAGTGAGTGGAGTTTGTACGATCTCTTCCTGTTCTACAGACTGAGTGAGTGGAGTTTGTGTGATCTCCCCCTGTTCTACAGAGTGAGTGTGTGGCGTTCATATGTTCTCCCCCTGTTCTACAGAGAGTCAGTGGAGGTTGTATGAGTGATTGAGTGAGTGTGGGTGAGTGAGTGAGTGAGTGGAGTTTGTATGATCTCCTCCTGTTCTACAGAGTGAGTGAGTGAGTGGTGTTTATATGATCTCCCCCTGTATGAGTGAGTGTGAGTGAGTGAGTGGAGTTTGTATGAGTGAGTGTGGGTGAGTGAGTGGAGTTTGTATGAGTGAGTGTGGGTGAGTGAGTGGAGTTTGTATGAGTGAGTGTGGGTGAGTGTGGGTGAGTGGAGTTTGTATGAGTGAGTGTGTGAGAGTGAGTGGAGTTTGTATAAGTGAGTCCGAGTGAGTGTGAGGATTATGGGTTTAACGACACTACAATTATATTTATGCGACCTCACCCAAAAAAAACCCCATTAAGCATATGTGGTCGCGAGAGCCCTACTTAGGGCGACGCGTCAATATGAGTATGTGCGTCGAACTTTTTTCACACCCTACGTCGCCGACGGCATCGAAGCGGTGGCGGGGCAAGCGGCACGCTGACTTAGCGGTTTCGGCCTGGCGACGATGGCGGGCAGGCGTGCGTACGGTTACGCTGCTTGTGGCTGTACCATGGTGTGGGTCGGGCAGAGATGGAGACCAGAGGTCGCAAACGGGTTTTGATTCCTTACCCGTACCCGGCCGCACCAAGGTCGCAAACGGGTACCCGTACCCGGCCGTACCCGTACCCTACCCGTACCCGGCCGGGTACCTGATTGCGACCTCTGGGATGAAGCCATGTTGCAGGCGCGGGTGGGTTGATTCTAGGAACTTGAATTGTGAGAAGAGACAAGACGTTGGGAAATGAGTGACAAACGGTTACTCACCAGTAACTCACGGCCTACCCGTACCCGGCCACACCAGGGTCGCAAACGGGTACCCGTACCTGGCCGGGTATGGGTAGCCGGGTATCGGGTAGGGTACGGGTATCGGGTACCCGGTTGCGACCTCTGATGGAGACCCACTGTTGCGATCACATATACGTTACTGTCACAACGCAACTGGGAAGTCAACTATTTATTATTTCATGGGACAGGTTTTTTGGGTTAGATCGAGTAAATATATCAATGTGTCATTCAACCCGCCGCCAGCAATTTAGTGAGGTTTGTCACGTAAACCGAACGTGGCAATCTCGATTTGAAGCTTTCGTGACTGCAGGAATCCATACTCTTTGGTTCTTTCGGTAAAGTCACGTGGGTAGACAAAATATAATTTAAAAGAACGTGACAATTCGTCGCTAGTACAGCACCAACCGGCTGTGTGTTGGAGAGTCAAGCCACAACATTTACAATCCTGAGTACGACGTTACGCCAGCAATTACCACCAGCTTCATCAGGCGACAGCTAGATATGTGGAGCAGTCCACCTGTTTTTATTTTACCAGGCGAGGCCCCCCTACACTGAACTGCTTTGCAAGTAGTTCGATTTCAGAAGCTACCCCGGCTATCACAAATGATAGCTTAACGAAGTTGGCTCATCATCATCATCATCAAATGACTCTGAACGTGTGGTGACGTTGATTCAAAATGTGGAAGGGAAAAAAAACGGAGGGGCCGATAGAAAAATCCACGCGACCACGCGGAGAGAGAGACGCAAACTCCAAATATACAGCAGCAGGCGTCAGGGTTGGGATCGAACCCACGACCTCCTGTAGACCAGGCGAGGTAGTTAACATCTCCTAGCCACCGTGATGATGATGAGAGAAACGCAAACTCCAAATATACAGCAGAAGGCGTCAGGGTTGGGATCGAACCCACGGCCTCCTGTAGACCAGGCGAGGTAGTTAACATCTCCTAGCCACCGTGATGATGATGAGAGAGAGGCAAACTCCAAATATACAGCAGAAGGCGTCAGGGTCGGGATGGAACCCACGACCTCCTGTAGACCAGGTGAGGTAGTCAACATCTCCTAGCCACCGTGATGATGATGAGAGAGACGCAAACTCCAAATACACAGCAGCAGGCGTCATGGTCAGGATCGAACCCACGACCTGCTGTAGACCAGGCGAGGTAGTTAACATCTCCTAGCCACCGTGATGATGATGAGAGAGACACGCAAACTCCAAATATACAGCAGCAGGCGTCAGGGTCGGGATCGAACCCACGATCTCCTGTAGACCAGGCGAGGTAGTTAACATCTCCTAGCCACTGCAGTTCTCCCCCATGTAGCCTTAACAGACTGTCGGGGCAAGTGCTGTTAGCGAGCACCTATGAAGACCGGCACAGCACACGAGGGAGTGGGTGGTGAGCAACGCGCCCGGCCGCCGTTATCTCCCCAGTGGTGATATTTACTACACACCGCACCAGGCACTAATTTGAGGCCGAGTAGACCTAGGGGAGGCCCACCAGGACCAGTTCAGATTATCGTCACCGGTGTTTGATGGTGGTGGTGGTTCCGTGAGAGGGAATATAGTACACACACACCACATACCATATAGTACACACACACACCACATACAATATAGTACACACATACACCAGACTGCCTTCAGGTGTACACAGTTCACGTTGGTCAGTGGCGTGGTGAGTGGTGTGGTGAGTAGCGTGGTGAGTGGCGTGGGGAGCGGCGTGGTGAGTTCCTTATTTTAGGCATTCCCACCCATTCAGCGTGTCTTGCCCACGTGTATGTGTGAATGTGTGTGTGTGTCGGTGTGTGTGTGTCAGACGTGTGTGTGGTTGATGTGTAATCACCTTTGTGCCAAGAATGAATTCAACATTTTCCCCCGTGAGTCACTGTCTGTAGAGTAATGTGTGTGTCTGTCGGTATGTGTGTGTCGGTATGTGTGTGTGTAAGTGTGTGTCGGTGTGTGTGTGTCAGTGTGTGTGTCAGTGTGTGTGTCAGTCTATGTGTGCGCGTGTGTGTGTGTGTCAGTGTGGTTATGTCGGTGTGGGTAGGGAGCGGTGGTGCAGTGGTTAGCGCTACGCTGAGCTACGAACCCGGCGACCCGAGTTCGATTCCCGCTCGCGGCCAACACCGGTGACGATTATCTTAACCGGTCCTGGGCCTCCCCTAGGTCGACTCAGCCTCAACATGAGTACCCGGTGCGGTGTGTAAACATCGCCACTGGAGAGACAAAGGCGGCCGGGCGTGGTGCTGGCCACCCACCCCCTCGTGTGCCGTGCCGGCCTTCATAGGTGCTACTCGCTAACAGCATTTGCCCCTACAGTCTGTTGAGGCTATAAGGGGACTCTTTATCTTTGTCTTGTGAGTGTAAACGTGTGTATTGTTAATGTACAGAGTGTATTGTCTGTGAGC